AAGAAACCCGCAAACGTGTGTGAAAATGTGTAAAACTAGACTGTTGTGTAAATGAAATGCCAATACTGCCTCTCATAAATAACACAAACACCCATTTGATCGATCTGCAGCGTAAACCATCGGCCCTTTTTAAGGGCAGATGGCGCTGCCTCGACCGCACTGGAGGGAGGTTATTGTTTACTCCTGAAAAGGTGTGCATGTGCTGTGCTACATAATGTGGCACAGCTTCCAAACGTGCCTCGACCCCCCCTGACGCCGATGTTGGCCCAGACCCCGTCCCCGATCCCCAATCATTGCCGCCAGTCTCCCATTAAGAGGGGACAGCTCCGGTGTCCCCTTTCCCACCCGGGGCAGACACACTTTAGCGATGGCGTGCTTAACGCTTTTTTGCATCCACTTTGATGTCGGACCATTTTTTCTTTATTTCGGCCGGGCCGAGGTTGTGAGGCTGCAGCGTTCACGGCCTCTGCACTCTTTTGCCACTCGAGTGCCTTTTTGGCATTAGTAATGCCCACACTGCCCTCCAAAAGGCATTTGACTTCTCTTTTCCACCTCGCCAATGATCATTTCCACTTCACACTGAGTGAAGTTACGTTTCTTCGTTTTCCTCTCAGTGTTTGTCATGATTTTGCAATCAATGAATATTCATATGTGGATGTTCTACAGACTATATATGGGCAACTATGGGCGTGACATGAAGCCGCAAAAGCTGCGCTGAATTTAGAAGTGATTGTGATTTATTAAGGGAAAACTGCGTAGGACGTGCGTGCGCACGGTTTTATAAGTCTGAATATTTCTGTGCGTACGCACGTCCTACGTTTCATCCGTACGCCACTTTTGGCGCAAATCCGACGCAAGGTTTTATAAATGAGGCCCCAAGTCTTTGTTCCTTGTTTCACGGGTTCCAACATTTGGTCCAAACAATGTTTGTTGACTTTTCAACCTGAACTGAACAGAGAAACATGTTCAGCTTGAATAATTCCAAGGCCATTGTGTGTCAATGTAGAGGTTTTATTCCCCATATCTCTCCTTTTGGTTCACCTACCTTTTTAGAGCATGAATAGACAGCCATTTTCTGCATGACATTTTCGCGGTCTGGGAACATCAGAAACGGTAAAAGTTTATGAAAAGCTACGCTGGTCCAAGATGAAGCCATAAGGTTAAAGGGAATATCTGCACATGTAGTCCTAATATTGAACACATCAAATTCTGAAAAACGATACAAAGAGTTTTGGGCTTTTCACAACAAAATCTTAGTTGAGTTACGCTCCTAACGTTGCATGTGTATCAGTTTCTTCTCAGCGAATCATACAAAAGCAACACAAATCTGGTGTATACCCCAAATATGCTCATATTCTTCTTGGAAAGAAGTACTTCAGCGTCAAAAAACACAAATTAACTAAAGGAATATTTGTGGAATTACACTAAAACAACCAATTAGTCAAATAATTGATTAATAGGGGGCAGCCCCCGTGTGTTTAAAATATATTGTGAGTCAATGGCAATTAAACTTGCATCAATCATTCAAGGGAAAACGGCGTGAACACATTAGGTTCCCTACTTGTGTAATTAGTAAAGATAATGGCAGTGATTCTCTGTTTAAATTAAATCAATACCCTGCTGCACTGCCTTTGGTACTTTAACTTATATTAGATTATTAAATCATTCTTACAGTTTTCAATGAGTCATGCGACCGCTAAACTGGAATAAATTGTTCAATATTAATTTGTAACACAGAACTTTATTGGAGTAAATACAAAACACGCGAGACAGACTGTGTGCACGGAGGGGAGAGGCTGTGTGTGTGTGTGTATGTGAGACGCGTGAGTGACAGAGACGGAGGGAGAGCAGGGAAAGGAAATGCAGCTGAACAAATAAGCTGCAGGATTTAAAACAAAACAAAAAAAAAAGAAATACACCAAACGCAATGTGTGGTGGCTGGTATTGAATCTGTGGCGCACTGCCACAAATTAGTCTATGTGTGAGAAACACTGTGTTCTATAATAATCATATGTTTAAAGTTATTTTTAGAATGGTCATTTCAGACTTTTTTTTTTTCTTGGACTGTTGGGCAGCAATCCTCACTCTCCTGCATCATAACCAGAAGAGATTTGTCATGAGCACAGGTGCCAAATATTGTGAGGTCTTCTTTTGATTAGTTATTTTTCTTCATTCTCATTCTGGTGCTAATGGCATCCATCCATAAGAAGGCTCGTGCTCTCTATGCTATGCGATTGTGCTGGTGTTTGCTTTCTTCTCTCCCCAAGAGTTTGATAAGCCGTCTCCATTTAGCCGCCACATTACTTTCATTAAAGCACACGTGCACGCCAGGGAGGGCTGTCCTGATCCTTCTCTCTCTCATAGATAGATAGATATATCGATGCAGATGGTAGCCACATCTGACTCTCTCTGTGTTGGCGGATAGCCTACATCTGTCCCTTACCAGCCACCAACCCCCTCATGGCACAGCCCTCGAAGGCTTTGTCAAATTTCAGAAACAAAGCTAACTCTGCTGCCGGCCACCTGACTACACGAAGAGGGGGGGAAGAGTGGGCGGAAGAGAAATGGCAATTTCACAGAGGAAGAGGTTGATGGAGACACTGAGCGTTAGCCGGCGCGTTCTCTGTGCCAGCTGCTGTCACTGGCAAGCAGACTGGGAGTTGATTTGCAGTCATTACTGGGGAATGAGTTCGGCCCCAGGATGATGACCGCATTACCCTGATCGCATGCGTGTGATTGGAGACGTTGTGCGATGTTAATCTCCTCCACTGTGTCCCCGAGATATAGAAAATAAATGGAGATGAAAATCTTCCTCTGCATCTTCACAGTGGGCCACGTATGATACAAATGGAAGCAGAGTACTGATTATGCAACCGTGGTCCCCCCTCCCCCACCCTCCCGATGAAGGGGTTTTTCATCCAGCCAATAAGATAATGGCAAAAACACTTTTCTGCAGGAGGTGTTTGTTAATTACTTATTATTGCGACAAGTAAGAATAAATGAGTTGTTGTGTATCAGGAGCAGATGGCCGCTGTGCGTAATGCACGGTAATAAAACCTTACAAGGAAGCGTCTTGACCAGAAGATCTCTGTATAAGCCCCTTAAGCTCCAGCACCGCTCGCTCGCTACCGACCCCCCCCCCAATCAACGCAGTCTCCGGGCCCAACATGAAGGCATGACTCGTCTGTGATTTCAGATGCTAATACTCCTGTTTCCAGCCACTCGTCATCCTGCTCTGCACTCATTAGGCACCGGCGGTTTTAGAATGCGAGTGTCGGAGGCCTCCTCACGTCTGTCCTACTGGCCACCCAGCTCGAGCGCCAGGCGCCATGTTCACGCTGCTCTTTGAGGGCATCATTATCCCCTCCATGCGTTCCAGCAGAGCGGGGTCTCGATGATGACCAGTGGGTGTGGGCCTTCACTGTTTTTTTTTTGTTTTTTTTCTTTCTGTGAGAATGGTATACATAAATGCATCATACGGTCTTTGAGGTGCAGACTGAATACATTTGACGGAAAGCACATCTTACCTTTTCATAACATGTCTTCTTATGAACAGCGTATTGCTTTTACAGCGCTCATTCGTAATTGCTGATACCGCTAAAATATTTCGTTGTGTGCCGCATACTATGGAGGTTTCCCATCAATTATTCCTACAGAAAGAAAGAACACCTGCCTCCTTCTCACCCCATTACCTTTCCTGGAACATTACATGCCTTTTCAAATATTTAACATATCCTTCCTATAAAACTGTACCTTGTTTTTTTTTTTTGTTTTTTTAAACGACCTACCTAAAAATGGCATTACTTTTACCCTTCTCCAAACTTTAAACAATGCAATCTCCCTATTGGGCTGGATCTTTGTCCCCCCCCCCCCTTTTTCATTTCCTCCGTGCCATCCCCCTCCGCTGCACATGCCCACAGGACACTATTTCGTCTTGCTTTGAACTCTTTTTAATTTTGCGCGGTAGCAGTTTTTTATTAACATATTTATTCATTGATGACTCGTCTCAAAGCCCTTTGCGTGTGAGCACACCTTTATTACCCCCCTCTTTCTTCCTCCCCTCTCAGCTCTTGACTCCCTGCAGAGAACGGGCCTGGCTAATGCAGTGGTAGTTTAATCCCTGCCACCCTGTCAGAGGCTGTTTTCTCTGGGTCCCTTCCTCACCCCAGCAGCATTGAGCATGGACAGAGAGAGTTTTCAGGCTCTCTCAGATAACCAGCTCCTGTCTAGATCATCGAGCTTTCTTTTTCTTATTTATTTTTCTTACGCTGTCAAAAGAGGGGCCCGTCTCCAGCCCTGAAGGTCATGGTGTCTTTCTAGCGGTCATTCCCAACTGTCCATGGCTTCCTCACCTCCATAATAACAGATCCTTCATTGAGTGTCCTAGGTCCATTTGAATAGGGGGAGATTTGGGGCAGGATGCTGAATTGACAGCCCTGGGGCCTCTACCTCAACCTGCTCTTTGCAAGGTGATACTGACAACAAAGGGAAGGAGGCTGGTTATAGAATTGGAGCAGGGTGACTTGAATGAACAGTTTCCCATTTCCCTTCTTTGTTAGATTGTGCCTTGTTACTAGGTGTATAGGCGTGCATCATTTAAACCGGTTAGATGTAGGTTCTATGTCGGCGACATTGTTCTAGCAGTGTTTCCCCTACTATGAAATTACACGGGTAATGTATGCACATGACGCTCGTACCAGCGGACAGTGTTTGGCCCAGTAAATGTCTCCTGTCACTTAGCATGGGGACAGTAGGTTGGCGAGCCGCCGCTGTAATCGGCATGGGTACAGTAATTCCTTTACTTCACTGTATTAATTTGTGCTGGGCTGATTTTCCTTGTGGGTGGCTGCAGGACACTGGAATGTAATCCCGACATATCACACTCACCCCTGCCTCTTTCAATCAGATGGAGTGATAGCAGGCCAACTCAAGAGGCCAATCGAGGTGCTGAGACAACATCCTAAGTGCTCTCTCTCCCTCTCTTTGTCTTTGTCTTTTAGATGCCAAGGAGATTGTGTTGAAAGCTCAGATTCTGGCCGGTGGCCGAGGCAAAGGTGTGTTTGACAGCGGCCTTAAAGGTGGAGTGCACTTGACGAAGGAGTGAGTATGCCCCTATCTACATTCCACACTGTGTGTTACTGTAGGAGATGGATTCCTGTCATTTCTCCTGCAACAGCGGCTTTTAGAGCGAGGGCGCTCAAAGAGCTCTCTGAAGATGCTCCCTTGGCACTTGTCAGGATTACTTGTGCTGCAAACAAACGTTTTTCTCTCTTCCAGTGTCTTGTTTTTCAAACAACCACCCTAAATTAAGTGTTGAGAAATGGATTTTGAGGGTTGACGGAAGTGTTTTGCACCCCATACTGAGTTTTTTTCCGTCTTTCGGGTTGGTTGGGTTCAGTGCCGATGCATTTTGCTCTGTCTACGAATTACAAAGTGTGATGTGTGTATTCCTCCAAAGAAGGCTCACTCTGGAGTCGGGGCTTTTTCAAAAGACTAAACAACTTGAAAGAGGTTTTTTTTTTTTTTTTTTTGCTCTGACGCTGCATTTTCCTCTGCATTTCCCTCTGCCAAGTTTTCATATACTAAAACAGCCCTATCTTTTACGCAAAGGTATCTACCACTTACTGCCGGCTTGAAAGGCGAAAAAGTGATTCATGAAAATTGCCTCAGATATGTATCATCACCCTACTTCAGGGTGCAGAATGGCCGGAAACTTTTTTGTGGAATATGCTGAAGTTCATCGTCCCTACAGTGCCATGAGTGCACAGTTCACCTTCCTCTCATCTATCAAAGGACGTGTACAACCCCCTCTTCATTTTTATTAACTCACACAACCAGGACCCCCGACATGTGGGCTGCTTTTAAACAGAGAATGAATGCAGGTTTGTGCACTGCCATGTATCCAAGAACTGAGCTTTGTCCAAATATCACATTACCACACATCTCTCTTCAAATGGAGAAATACAAAACGTCCTCCTGCTTTTCTCCTTTCATTTGTTTTTTAACTGAACGCGTTTCATTGTTTGTATTTTAATATGAATAATGTTTGTTGTTTCTTTCAGCCCTGCTGTGGTTGGGGAACTGGCCAATAAGATGTTGGGTTTCAACCTGACCACCAAGCAGACACCCAAAGATGGAGTGAAAGTGAAGACGGTGAGCCACTGCACAAACCGAGGGAAGGAAGGATGCATTTTGATCCTTTTTCTTCTATTCTGAACCTCGTTTTTAGGCCTTTTGAGTCCAGCAATGCACTTCTGTGTTGTTGTTTTTGTTTAAATAGTAGCCATCCACTGCTGTTTGAGCTGGCTGGTGTTATGGCTCATTGCATAAACTGAACCAAGCCCGGTGTGAATTTAAAGTGTTTTCCTAAAACAACTGTTTCTGTGTGCCACTAACAAGCAGCACTATCATTTTCTCTACTCCGCATGCTGCATGCAGTATCTCCTCAAAACAGTCATTTCCAGGTGATGAAGCCTTCTTAGCCTGTAGCCTCGCTGTCTCTCCTCATCCCCCCCCGACTCCCACCACTCCCATTCCACCCATCTTCTGCCCCTACCACAGAGTTTAGGTGGAGACATGGGACTGTCCACATGTCATTTTTCTAGAAAGCCCCTGCAGACCAGGAAGCTTTGGCCTGAGGCACTGAAAACAGGCCTGGGACGTGCAGCCGTTGACAGTAAACCGCACAGTCACAGACTTCTGTGCTACATGACAGACAGAGCTGAGCTGTCAAAACGCTGATGGAGCTTGTGTCAACACACAACCCCACCTGAGAGCAGAGAACAAAGAGAGCGGACACTTCAGCATCTACGTGGATTTGCTCTCATGGCACTGATAGAAGGATCAGGAGAGGAGAGAAAAGCAGAAGGGACAGGGGGTGTAAACAGTTTGAGGTGGAAAAAAAAGAAGGGACAAATAGAAAATGTTAAGTCTGAGGGGAGAAACGGCCAACAAATGGAACGACAGGGAACTTGACTGGGGAGGACAACATTTGGACAAGGAGATAGGGCAGCTGTCTGTGCACACGGAGAGGAGAGAAGGCTATCCATCCTCATTAGCTGTGCGGCAGGGTGGAAGCAGAACATAAGGTCTGTGCATGTTCAAACCGACACTTCATCCGTAAACCTGCAGCCCATTAACACATCTGATTTCATATTTCTTCCTCCTCTGTTTTCTAAATGAGCCTCTCGCTTGCTTTCGCTTTGTTCAAATCTGTCCTTATGTCATCACTCATTTACAACATAGAAGATTCGCTCAAAGCTGTGCTTCGTAGGTTCCGCCTGTACGTGCACCCTATTTATGTGCCCGTGTCGTTGTGTTCTTTGTATTCTACGTGTGTAAGCATGCGTTGTGATGTGAAAGTCACATTTAGAAACTCTAGCCTCCTCTCTCGCCATATCCAGGTGATGGTTGCTGAAGCTCTGGACATCAGCAGGGAGACTTACTTTGCCATCCTGATGGACCGCGCCTGTAATGGTCCGGTCATGGTAGGCAGCCCTCAGGGAGGTGTGGATATCGAGGAGGTAGCCGCCAGCTCCCCAGAACTCATCTTTAAGGTATACAATTTTTATCACTGTAATATCTAATGAGAGGAACAAAAATGAAGAAAAAAAAACAAGCATACACCTAAAAAAAATGGACTAATCTTGTCTGGTATAATGGACAAAAATAGCTAACAACTCGACATGTTGCTCAAAGACGCTCTTTAATCATCAGAAGTTTGATTTGGCTTGAAATCCCGCCAGGGCTTGGTTGCTCAGTCGGCCTTACAGATGGGAGCTGTGCTCATTTTGTATTTTAAGCTAATTCAATTACATTTTTGCTGCCTGCATGTGTACCGCAGCAGCCCAACATGATGCAGACATGCAGCAATACACTAAAGCTTGACATGAAGAAATACTCGCTATTAATTAGATTGAATTTACAGAACATAAGCCAACGTAGTCACTTGGCTACTTGGCAACAGGTTTTTTGTTTTTTTAATTGTTAACAGATGTACCATTTTAGCACAACAGATCTTCTGTTGTCGTATTTCTTCCATTTGCTTTTGTCCACAGATGTTAGAGCAGATTGGAAATATCCAGCCAAGATTTATGTCCTTCATTATTTCCACCAAAGATTTCACATTATATATGCAATACGCAGCCGTGATGTTGCTCATCTCAGTCACGTTACAACCCCGTACACACCTAATTAAGATCTATATGCAGGAAATCTTGTATTCCTATGTAAAAATATATTGGCAAGCTTCCCACTATGGAAGATTGGAGGGTTTGATGATCTTAAATCCATCGATTCAACCCTTTCTCCGTGTCTGGTAGCTTGCCCCGGCTTGGTTATGATGCGTGCAGTTTGTTGTGTGCGCCCGCTTTGTGTCAGATTACAGCGTTTGAGCCTCTCACGCGCTCCCACTCCCTTTCTCCATTTCTGCCCCACCCTTTTTCTTTCTCTTTTCCCACTGCAAACCTTACAGGAAGTCATAGATATTCTTGACGGTGTGCAAGACGAGCAAGCGCTTCGCATGGCAGCTAATTTGGGTTTCAAAGGACCTCTGCAGAGACAGGTAATGGGCAATGGCTTCAATGACACAATGCAAAGAAGAGGCAGACAAATCTACAAATGCCTGGTGACACACACACATAGACTTGCAGTGATGGATGAATACTCATTGACTAATGCACCAAACTCTGGATATTATTAGTTCTGCGGGGGACAAGTTGGGCCCTTGCCAGGTTTCCTATTGTCTTATGTGTGGATGTGACACACATTGCTGTGGCAGGCTGAGGCATCACCAGGGATGCCGTTAGTTTAACAGGCCTCACGTCGTTAGGGCTCAGAACTCCTCGCGACTGGCAGACTATAACTTTTGAGGACGGTGAAAGAAGAACGTGTTTTCTTGTCACTTTTTTACAAGTTTTACAGCACTTGTTCAGGCAGCATTAGTTAAGAAAATAAGGTCATGGAAGAACAGTACAAAAACACGAGTTCCCATTCAGAATGAGTAAAGAGTTCATTTAAATGCCATTTGTCTCTCTGTATCAGATAACTGATTTGTTTTCTGTTCCACAGGCACCGTGGCATGAGAAATCAGATTAGCTTAGAATCTTAGCACATGTAATACATATAAAGCAGCCAAGTGAAGCTGCTTCTAGCCGAGTCGAGGATGTTTAGAGCTCTGCTATGCATCATATTGTACGCAATCCTTTTTCCGACTACTGAATAGGCTTTGGTGTTAAACAGACATGGATGGAATAGGAAGTGAATGGTTTCTGCATTGTCTGTGTGCTCTTCCATGTTTCCTGCGAGTCAGCCGCCACACTGTTTTAATTCAGAGTTAATTATGACACTTCTAAAATACCTATGCCGTCTAGTGTGACAGGATCTTTGTGTAGATAGAATAAAATAAATAATAAAATGGAATTGGTAGTTTGTCTGGAACTGTGGATTTAGTCATTTCAAGCTGTCTTTATTACTGAAAATCATCTGCAGCAACATAGAGATCATTTGAATTGGGGATTTTGACACTTGTCTCAGTGTTGTGGCAAAAGCCAGGTGGAATCAATTTAAAAATGCGTAATGTTCTGCAGTTGTTACACCGTTTTGAGAGACACACACATTCATGCATTACTCAGACAGAGCAACGTTGAAGGTGATTTGTAGCCAGTGTGGGGGGCTGAGGGGCCTTGGAGGGGACGGCTGCTCAGAGCTAAACTATGAGGTAATTACTGTCCTATGTGATCCTCACAGGCAGCAGATCAGATAAAGAGGCTGTATGATCTGTTTCTGAAAGTCGACGCCACTCAAGTCGAAGTTAATCCTCTCGGAGAGACTCCCGAAGGACAAGGTACTGTGCGTGTGTGTGTGTGTGTGTGTGTGTGTGTGTGTGCTTCAGTATTAGATTGTTACGTGTGTCCATCAAGTGGCTTTGTGGCTTTGTTCATATTTCAACACTTGATGGCGTTTCTGCGGAAACATATTTCATGACAACCCTTAAACGTGATTTGAAATGACTTAGTTAAATTTGTTTTCCTTTTCATAAAAAAACGAAAAAAATGTCACCTCTACAGCGCCAACATTTAAATAACAAGGTTTTATGGCTGGTTTATTACTTTCTACACATCAATGCAGTATGAAAACAAGCAGTTTTTCTTATCTTCAAATGAACACCGCTTTGTATCTCATGATGAAAAGAAATGTAAATCCCAGTGGTAGTACAAAAACTTGTTTGATTTATCATACTATTCACTTCTGCTTTTGAGTCCTCGAGGAAACGTCTGGGTTCACTAACCTGGAGATACTCAGACGAGAGAGAAATATTTAGTGGTATTGACGTGAAGTTATCAAATGATCATCCTCAATTCAATGTCTCTCAAAGCAGCACAGGCTAGACTACAGCACAATACGTTTATTGTATTTCACTTTAAATCATTGTAATCACCAATCAAGCACCGTCCATGTTGTCAGTTGACTAGTTAAGTAAATTGGAAATTGTCACAGTTAGACTGAAGTCTAAGTCCAGACCTTCAGCTCATCATTATTATGCTTCATCGGCTTTCTAAAACATTGGTAGTGATTACAGATGAATGTGTGACCAGCTGTGGTTCAGTCTTTGATAGCAAAAAATACCCAAATGACTACCCAAACTTTATGGCTTTACGTGTTTCACATACATTGTCAGAAATGTTTTATTAGATTTTATTATCGTCTTTAAATATCTCTAATAAATGAGACACATTTTATGGCACGTTTTTTCTATCCAGTGTTTTGTAACAGCTGGAGGAGCTCACCCTAAACCGTGTGTTTGTTCTCTTGGGACGATCCTGCAATTCTGAACTCCACCAGGCTTCTTTTGTGTCGTTTGGAAAAATCTTTTGATCCATATTTACCATAGCCGCTGTTCGAGCTTCAATTTGTGGGGTCAAAACTTGCATCCAGCTATAGTCGTTGCATGTCTAGACCTCTCTTCCTGTCTGAATTGTTCCCTGACAAATGAAAACACTTGAAATATCCAAAGAAAAACAGTGTTTAAATTCCAGTCCCTTGTTGTCCCTTAAATTGCCAAACATGACGCACAAGTGGAGGTTAGCAGGTAAACATTTCAAGCGCTCTTCATTCAGATGAGAAGGACATTACAGATTGTCACATTTTCCAGCTGTAGTGATGCTGCTTCCGCTGAACTCGTCCTGAACTTTGTTTATCTCCCAGAGAAATAAGAGATGCTGAACACTGACTGTGATGTGTCCTATTGAGACGCAATACAACACCCTGAAGACGCATCAATTCTTTGATCTGATTTGGTTTCAGCAAAAACAGACATGTTCAAAGTATGCTTAATCAAAAATTGACAAGAAGGGTTTGTTGTTTCATTGTTTCCTATGAATATTAATGAATACAATGATGATTTTTCAGTAAAAGATATGAGTTTTCTTTCCTAGCAGCGGCCTTTGTAGGCAAGCGTCACAATAAAATCAACTCACAAGTGAACGCTGCCTTTTTACCGGCAGACAGTCAACAGACGTGCAAATTTCTCAAGGGTGGATATTTTTTGGGGGCGTAATATCCAGATTTGTTTTGACTACACTGCAATAATGGATGTGTCAAACAAAAGGAATTTTGTAGTGGGAGGACACAGTGTGTCTACCCCCCAGTCCCAGGAGAGCGTTTACTGCTTGTAAAATGTGCCTATGTACACTGGGTGTGTTTTCTCTTTCTGCGCGTGGCAGTAAGCCAGTATTTTCATATTGTCTTGCACTTACTCACTCTTATATGCGGGTAGTCTGTTACCTGCAATGTGCTCATTAGAAAAGTTCATTCTAGAGGTTTTAGAGATATTGATAGCGGCAGAAATAAGACGTTATAGTTGTATTTTCAATAGTTTAGTGTGCAAATAAGTGATTTCTACAACCAAAAGCTGAAATATATATATATATATTTTTTTGCTTAGTTGGATATAGAGATAGCGGCCCGGTGTTGCCCTGCAACCTCACACCAATAACACAACCCACGTGTATGATTATTTTGCATGAATTATACAAGATATGATCCAAATTAACTGGAAAAGTTTCTAGTTGACTTATTATTATTTCAGGTTTGGGCGGATCCAGGCTGTTTGCCCCTGTTTTCAATCTAAATTAAGCTAATCCTCTGTTTCCTAAAGCTACATATATTCTGTACCGGCGACAGATGGCAGTAGTCTCCTGCTTCTCCGCCCAACAAACTTTCCAAAATGTCAAAGGTTTCCTTTAGATAAGTTATTATTTAAATGTTGTTGTGTACACAAAAAACCTTTTGACTGATTCATTAGTTGATTTGCCTGCTATTTTTCTCAGGCACCAGTGACTGTGTACCGTCTCTTTGAAATGCTGCCGCTTTGAAGTGCAAAGGACACGTCCGTTTACTATAAGGGCCTATCTCTTAGAGGCTGTTTCAAAACCACCTCCCGTAGTGAGCCAACCAGATAATTAAGACCAGTACGCTGAGGGGACACCCCTCAGTTCGTTAACTTCAGGTTTGGGAAATGATAATTAGTTTTCTTTTCATGTCTGAAGTCCTCTGTCTCCCTTCCTTTTTCCCTTGCCTGCCTTCTCCCTCTGCTTCCTCTGTTGCCTTTCTACCTTCCTAACTCAGTCTTTGTCATCTCCTCGTTCCTCCAGTGGTTTGCTTTGATGCCAAGATCAACTTTGACGACAATGCAGAGTTTCGCCAGAAAGCGGTGTTTGCCATGGACGACATGACTGAGAGCGACCCCACAGAGACGGAGGCAGCCAAGTGGGACCTCAAGTACATCGGACTGGATGGAAACATCGCCTGCTTTGGTATGGAAAAGGAACTCATTCCCGCAGACACACACACACGCACCATTCTCCCACGATTGAACCTCTCTTGGCATCGGGATTTAATGCTTTAATGCATCTCTCAAGTCGCAAAAGTGAAAAGCTCTGACTCTGTTAAAACTTTGTCAAAGTAAAAGCAGCCTCGGCTCTCCTCCAGTCCACATTACGGGCAGCTTTGTGAGGACTCCAGGAGGAATGCTCCCGTAACCAATGCGTTCTAATTAGCTATAATCCGCCCGGAAAGTCTCCAGCGAGCCAGATTGTTAGCAGTCTCATTAAAGGCCCCCTCTCTTGTCATAAATCAAAGCTTTTACAGTTTACGGCAGCACTAACAGGTGCTCTCGCCTCTCACCCCGTAGTCTCATAAACACATTAGATTCTGTTAACACCCCCCCAGCCCCATTCTGCATCCCCAGTACCCGACCTGTCTTAGAGTAACGGCAGCTTCTAAGGCCCTACGGCTTCCTTGAGAGCTCCGTAAGCCACCAAAGTGGTAGCTGTTAAAGAAGATTTCCCTTTTATTGAGACATTGGTTGGGGAGCTCGCAAAGACACAAGTTCAGCTTGGCTAGACCAAATGTAGGAAGACGTTTTTGTGCACTTGGCTCCAGCGCAACTCAGCAGGGTGCCCGCACTGGCAGTTGGCTAAATGATGGCCCAAAAAAAAGCATAGCACAACTCATTTTAATCAACGCTGTTTTCCAAATGATTCACTTTTAGTTTTTTTTTTATTACATCTGACATTCTTTTTCGTGGTGTACAGTACATACTGTCTTCCTTTCAGAAAAGATAATGTCGTTTTAATTCATTCAACGCTCTGGGATTTTTATATTTGGTCAGATTAAACTGGATTTACGCTAGATCATCAGGCTAAATTACAATTAACTCTTACTCAAAATATGAAGACCTGAAAAGTCTGCTTTTTTGTTTACTTATGTATTTCAGATTCACATTTTTGCATTGCAAATGAACAGACGGTGCATTTTCTTTTTTTCTTTCTAGTGAATGGAGCCGGTCTTGCCATGGCCACATGTGACATCATCGACCTGCATGGAGGAAAGCCAGCGAACTTCCTGGACCTGGGGGGAGGAGTCAAAGAGCGGCAGGTGTACGAGGCATTCAAGCTGCTGACTGCCGACCCGAAGGTGGGGAGAAACCTTTACAAGTGCTTTTTTTCTAGCACAGCAGCTAATTGTTACAATCAGGCATGTGACATAAATACTTGTTAATGTTATTTTAAAGCACATCTGCAACGACAAGTCACCGCATGTTGAATAGTTTGATTTTTGCAATCCTGTATCTTTTCATAGCACATTTACAAAGCCCTTTGTGCCGGGTTAGCTCTTTGTAATTGAGACAATGGCGCTCATTAGACTAGGGAACTTGGCATATGTCCAATTTTCACTGAGAAAGTCTGTCTTACTACGTGCCATACTTTCCACTTGCAGAGGCACAGACTGCGCCGTTGCTTTTACAGACTTCCACTGACTTGTTCATCCACACACATGTACACATGCATATTAACACACCAGGAACTCCTATGCGAGTCCACCAGGAATGCAACCTGAAGCAGGCTTCTGAGAATCCCGCAGCCCAGGATGAGTGGCAGCTTGAGGGGTTCTCCAAGTGATTTTTCTCCATGTTCAGGAAGCTTTTTAACTCCAAACTAAACAACGTGATCCTTGTAACAATGCTACATAGCGGTTTGCGTGTTGACACTCATCCCGTTGCTAATTCCCCGTGCTGCTGTCACTCCCACATCCCTGGACTGATCTCCGGTTGCCTCTGTGTTAGCGGCTCCAGCAAGGCGTGGTTGCAATGCAGAGTAGCATTTGATATCAATTCAGTCTTCTGCCCCCATTTAAAACGTTGTTTACACATGTCTATTTCACTCAGAAGAAAATGCTTTTCAAAGTCTTATAATAAGACTCACCTGTACATTGACACATGGAAATGGTAATCTGTAAATAAACTAGAGAGGTGGCAACTCACAGCTCCCACTTTTCCTCTAACATTACGAGAATAACGCTGATCTGTTAATTTGCACATCAAGAGTTCACAGCGAGAGGGAATGGCTGTGAATAACGATGCAGTCTGCTCTTTCATACACAAAACTCAATTTCCCCTCAACCTGATTTGACTCGCTGTTAGTCGTGCGGGTCTGCAAATGGAGGCTTTTTAAAAAAAGTTCTGCCTCGTATCTACACAACAGCATCAAACAGACCCGCGTTTCACACCTTTGTGGATGAATGTTAAAAACCTACCAACCGTAACACAGCAGCAGGTGGTACACTGCCTTAATCCAATTTCCACTGTGTGTAGATACTGTTTGGTCCCACATGAATACAACTCAATGGTCTGTGGAGGGAAATAAAAATGCAATCAATAGGGAGGGAGAGAAACTAGAGTGGCTTGTCACTCCAGCGTGGTATGGGGCCATCATCCATTATTGTTGTTGAACCCTCTTAAAAGGTGGAAGTCTGCAAATGCAGAATCAGGTTTTATTGTCTGCATTCATTGAACCCCGCTCTCAAAAACAAATAGTGATAAAAATCATCCCCCCCACCCTCCTCTGTTCCTCCTCCCATTGTGTCTTGGGCGGATTCCCTGGATCCAGATGGGGGCGTAAGCCTGCTGTCTGTCCCTCCTGCTGCTGTATATGGAAATAGAGACAGGGAGCTCCTCCCTAACAGGGAAAAAGGTAAAATAGGACTGGCATTAAGCTGGGTTGGAAACACCATTAGCATTTCAAGCAGAGGAGCTGAGAAACCGGCTCTGATCTGTGAAGGGAATGCTAATCATTCCACAATAAGGGCGCGAGAGAGCGAGCTGCTCCTTTGCATTTGTTTCTTTTTTCTTTCCCTATATCACCGAATTTAAAAATTGAAATCTTTTCCCAGGCAGCCGGAATGTGATGCAGGCAAAAATGATTGATTCTGTGTGTCAATAAGTAATGGAGACAGAGTTATTCTGTTTATTTTCCTTAAATATCAAAGCAATCAGTGCCTGTCACCTTCAACTGCGCACCCCTTTGTCGGAGAGTTATTCACTGTTTGATGTCCCGGACAGACTCGCGTGTACCTCACATCATTGTTGTTCAACCCTTTTTGAAGGCGTACGATACCGCATGAAATGAGTTTGGTGCATACTAATGTTCTGCTGCATACATAAAAATATGCTACGTTATGTACTGTGACCTTTGGCTTGGACGCTTTGAATGTTGTGAACACCTTGGAAACGAAAGTGCATTCAGCGGCCAAGCAGGAGGGATAGTAGGAAATATGACGGCCCACATTTCCACACAAAACCTGGTAATTTGGTGGGTTTTTTTTTTTTAGTCCTTCCCTCTCAGATGCATTTACGCTTTTGTCTCCCTCCCGCCGTCCTCGCCCCCCTCAGTCTCCGCTTTGATGTCTCAGGCTCATGGTGCTGAGTGGAAGAGATGTGAGCGTACTGCCGGCAGTGAATAGCAGAGACTGAGTCTGAGATGTCAAAGCCGCATTCTTATTGTTTGCTCATTTCTCCAGTGGTCTTCTCTTACAGCATTTATCACCTTAAACATTATTATTTTTCGCTTTCAAAGGAAAGAGGAAACCGATGAAATGAGGATACTTTATGGGAAGTGAGAACAACCTATGGAACAAAAAACTCTGGAGGAAAAAAGGGGTCATAAAGCAGTGCATAGCCCAGTGCGTTAAATATGTGAGATGCTACACTGTTGTTTGAAATCCCTCCCCAGCTTTTTAAGCGGGGACACATACTTTTTTGCATGTTGAAATAAATAGCTCTACTTTCTTCATATCTACAAATAGAACAGTCTGTTGACAGAATGGCTGAATTTATTAAGGTTTCCCCTCACATAACCTGTGGGCACAAAACAGGAGCAGGCAGCAAATATAAACCGCCAAATAACCTCGTTATTGGTTTGTGCCGGAGCCGTAAAGAAAGTGGCAGATGGATGTTCTTTCCAACTCTACATCCTTTCTTTTTCTCAGGGCTTAAGGCAGTTTTCTGTCATTTTCAGAGGTTTTCAAAGTAAATTATGGCATTTTTCTAAAACACGCCTGTGTTTTTGCTCCACGTCTGTATGAAGCTGACCAATATATCACGTTCATTTATAGAGGACGAATTTAATATAAACTAAAGTCATAGAGCCGCAACTTACTTTGGGTGAGGCGGGATGACAATGGAGATCAATGGTGTCTCCTGGCTATCAGAGTTGTGTTTCTATTCACAATAAACACACACAATCTCACAATCTGTCCTTTTTTCCCCCTTTTTTTTTTTTTTTTTTTTACAGAATCCCCAGTATTCCAACCCTGCAGAGAGCTGTTTGTGAGCGCAGAAAAAGTCTTTCCATCTCAGAATAACGTTTTGTTCTCCTGACGCTGTCGGCAGAGAGCCAGAGTCACAGTTTTTGTGAGAACGTTCTGCTCGGTGCGTCTGTGTTCCTGTGAATGCACAAAGAGTAAAAGGAGGTGGAGGAAGAACATAAACATACTGTTATAAAAAAAAAGAGAGAGAGGGGAAAAATAGAGCAAGTTTGGAAAGTCAAGTGGCAACTGTTATCCGTTTTCTCATGATATTTTCATAATTCCCAATCACAAACTGGGGCTTTGTGACACCCTGAGAGTGTGCGCGCGCGTTCATTATGACATTGTGATTCTGTGTTCGCGCTCTCGGTTGTTACCTGCAGGCGCCTTGCAGCCGCGTTGTTTGTGGAGGAGCAGGCGTGCACAGTGGGAAGGCTCTTCTCTCAGGAGAAAGAGGCACATTAGCATTAGCTCAGCCGGGTGACCCACCTCCCAGCCAGATATGGAGGTGTGTTCATGAGCATGTGTTAACGATGTTACATAATTGCGCTGTTGATAATGACCCATCTTTTCAGCTCCCCCTGGCATGTGTGTGATCTCAATTTGGATTGCTGAAGCTCTCCTGTGTGTGTGTGTGTGTGTGTGTGCGTGGGTGCGTATAATCTTTAGTTTTTCTCTCTGAATTGCCGCTACTTTTTGGTATTATTTTGCATGTCCCCTGGTGCTCCAGCCCCCGTGGCCTTCAAGCAAAACTACACACAATTTCCCTTCCTTCCAGCTCAGTGGCTCTGCTTTAACTCACCTTTGGTCCCACTTAAACAGCTTTCCTTCTTGATGCCGTGACTCTCCTGAGGCCGGCCAACTCTCTGTACCATCTCCCCCGCCACAGGGAACGCACCACTCTTGAAGCATTTCCAACTCGGGCTTTAAGGAATAGTTAAATGCTTCTTTAATTCACTGCCTCATTCAAAATAATCATTAATATCTTGCACAACTAACATTGCGTGCAATATAGTCCACTTTTCACCTCCTTTCTCGCTCTCACACACACGGCGAGCGACGCTGCGCTCAGTGTCTGTCCTCAAAAGGAAAAAAGATGGATGTAATCATTTCCAGAAATTCACAATGGTTTATCCAACAGTTTTCTCTCCATCTTGCTGCACACAAAGGGTGTGAATTAACTAGGCAGCCTGATAGCGACACAATTGATATTTATACAACCAGAAGAACATGAAATCCATTGTTCAGTGTGATGACACCATAAAATGTGACCTCAAACAAACACGTTTGGCACAGCACTATTTCCAACACTATCTTCCATCTTTCTTGGTATTATTCAGCGATAAATAAATGTGTGAACATTTAGTGTTGCCCCAGTGCCTCCTCCCGTCGGTCGGCCATCTCCTCTTTTGGTGTCTTCCTCTCCTTCTTTCAGGCCTTTGTCCCAGTGTCTCTTTGCCTCTACTCATTTCGGTTTCCTTCCCTTTCATCTAACTAAATCCGGTTAAAGTCAATGTGAGCAGCTTCCCTCAGTTTCATGCCTTCTAGCTAAATCCCACAAAAGCCCACGGCACCGACTTTTCTTTTCTGTCCCCATATGGACGTCTCCGTCCATGTCTAACGTGCTTCAACATGTGGACGGAGTCACCAAAAGGCAGTGGCTCTGGTCCCGGCCAGGTGAGAGACAAAAGTGTTCTCATGCGCCACATAAAACGGAGAGAGAGCCCCTTTTTTTACAGGCTTGTCCCCCGAGGGGGTGGGGGGGGGGGGGTGCTGCCTGTACAGCTCATTCCGCCATTGTGCAGAAATCCAAACAAGTGCTAATACATACG